ATGAACTTATTGCCTCCTAAATTTCTTATTTAATCTTTCAAGTTGCTATTGTCAATTTGATCCCATATAAATAGTTCTTAAAAGAGTATAATCCTCAAGAAAAGTCTTTTTTATGAGTTAAAAAATAGCTAAACTACTCTTTGGTTTTAAAAAGACTTCAGGGATTATTTCTGGTTTAACTTTGAAAGATTATCTCAGAGCAGTAGTTTCAGGGGTTCATCCACCTTCCATAGCTCCAGAAAGTGTAGAATCCATGAGAATTTTAAATTCTGTTCTACATTTTCTCCCTTTTGATCAGTATATTTTCTATGGAATCTTTGATCAAAATATTCAGTAATGGTAGCTGGATACCATCCAATTCTGGTCTTATGCCAAAGGAGGCAGTAATTCATGGAGGCAATTAGCTACACATTCCATATTTTCCTCCTATTCCTGATTCTTCTGCTTCCTCTGCTACTCCAGATGCATAGAGACCACTTGTTTTGCCTTGGATGGCCACTGGCAAGCTTTTAAGACCCCAGGCACTATGCAATGCACTAGGTGGTAGAATAGAAGCACTGAATATGTTATTAGGCCAATTAACTGGGATATCCCATGAAAGTATGACCCTAAACATCCAGACCAACAAATCAAGTCCCATGAGGTGTGTGTTTGTACATAAAGAGCCTCAGCAGCTACTCTTTTATTATTTTTCTCGTTATTATAAATGTTGTCTGTCACACAACTTCTACAAATTCATTTTACATAAGTACAACTTATAGACAGAAATATAGTAATTGGCTTGCAGCCCTACCCTTAATCAACACAATTTTTCCATCACTGTTGACTTCCAATGGCCCCTCTTTCCCAACCGTGGTAACCACTAATAATCTCTGGTTTCTATACATTGGCCTTTTCTTATCTTTTTATATAAGTAAGGTTATACAGTATTTGTCCTTTTGTGATTGACTTATTTTACGTAACATAATGTCTTCAAGCTCCATCCATACTGTAGCATTTGTCAAGACTCCATTTCTCTTACTGACTGAGTAGTATTCCATTGTGTGTATATAGCACATTTTGTTTTTCCATTTATCTGTTGATGGGCATTTAGGTCGTTTCCACATTTTGGCTATTGTGAACAGCGTTTCAATGAACATCGGTACACAAATCTCTTTGTGAATCTCTGCTTCTAAGTCTTTTGGGTATATACACCTAGAAGTGGAATTGCTGGGTCAGAAGATTTTTTTTTTTTTTTTTTAAAGTAGCCAACCAATATATATATTTTTAATTCTGTATTTTGAGCCATATGTAGAAAGACATTCCCTAATCCTGGGTCTCTGAAACTTTAATGTCATTTCTTTATGCTATCCAGGTGGGAGGACCAAGGATATTGAAAGTGATTTTCATCTATTTGATTTGTAAATTCTGCATTAGTAACACAACACTTCACTTTGAAATGTAAAAATATTTGCCATCTGCTCTTCCTAGCTGGAATGCAGGAAGAGTCTCATTTTCACATTCTTATTATAGTTCAAGATAGAAGTTGTCAGGAATTTCATTTTACTTAGATCCACAATGAACACCCATGGAAAGCAACAGTCAAGCAATCAGACAACGTATTTCATTGGGCAAATTTGCTATAAAAGATCTCTTTATAGTATCAAAAAGCAAAGATGTCACTTTGAAGACTAAGATATGCCTGACTCAAGCCATGGTATTTTCAATAGTCTCATATGGATGTGGAAGCTGGACAACGAATAAGGAAGACTGAAGAAAAATTTATGCATTTGAAATGTGGTGTTGGAGAAGAATATTGAAAATACCATGGACTTCCAGAAGAACAAACAAATCTATCTTGGAAGTACAGCCAGAATGATCCTTAGAAGCAAGAATGGCTAGACTTTGTCTCAGGTACTTTGGTCATGTTGTCAGAAGGAACCATTCTCTGGAGAAGGATATCATGCTTGGTAAAGTGGAGGGTTAGTGAAAAAGGGGAAGACCCTCAACGAGATGGATTGATAGTGGCTGCAGTGATGCGCTCAAGTACAGCAAAGATTGTGAGGACAGTGCAGGACTGGGCAGTGTTTCATTTTGTCACTGTGACATGGATTGACTTGGCAGCACCTAAACAAAAAACAAACATTATGGTTCAAAATCAATCTGGTTGTTCTGTGAAGAATGCATCGTAGGGGTGCAAGAGTGGAATTGAGAAGACTATTATTCATTCATTTCATAAGAATTTTTTAATTTTAATTTAATTTTTTGGGGGGTGCTTGCTATGTTCCAGGTCTGCAGATCCTGGGCAGGCATTGGAAATAAAACAGCCCTTACTTTGTTCTAGATTGGATGATAATTAGGGCTACTCTCATAGATTCAGGTATTGTCTATATTCTGATGACATTGAATTTTATATCTCTACCTCAGACATCTATTCTGAACTCCTGACTCATATCTACAAATATCCATTCCATTCAGTGGAAGAATTGAACCAGTGAATCAATAGATATATAAAGTCAGGTAGTGAGAATTGCTATAAAAAATAAAGCAGGGAGAATGATAGACAAAGAAAATTGCGTTTTCTAAAAGTGATTCAGGAAATGTTGCTCTGCGGGAGCAACATCTGAACAAACACCTAAAGAATCAAGGGGTAATGTGGTAGGAAAGGGAGTTCTGGTGGCATAGTGCCTAAGGCATTTGACTGCTAACCAGAAGGCTGGTGGTTCAAACCCACCAGTCACTTCTTGGAAGGAAGGTTGGGCAATCTACTTCTGTAGTGATACTGCCTCAGAAACCCAAGGAGGGGTCACTGTGAGTCGAATCTGAGTTGACGGCAGTGGGTTTTGTGGTAGGAAAGTAGGTTGGAGAAGTGATCATTGCTCAGATTGGGAAAGATTTTGTAGACTATGATAAGAGTTCTGGATTTACTTCTAAGTGTGATGAGAAGTGTCATTGAAAGACAATAACAGATTGGATTAGGGTGATGACAGTTGAAATGGAAAAAATAAACCCATCTGATAGAATGGATGCTACTTGCTTTTAGATTTCTCTTTGAGCATAGGGTACAGGAAGCTATAAAGAATTGGCCTTAAATTTATTGAATAAGGAAATATGGAAGTAGCAAGAGTTTTGGTAAATCAGGAAAATTATTAATTTCATTTTGAAATATTCAAGACTGTAGTACCTGTGAATCTCCTAAGTGGAATGCATATTTGTAGTTATGAGTCAGGAGTTCAGAACAGGTGTCTGAAGTAGAGACATAAAATTTGATGTTATCAGAATATAGACTATACCTGAATCTATGGGAGTAGGCCCAATTATCATCCAATCTTAATGAATCAGAGGTCAACTAATGTCCTAGCTGCTCACCCATCTGAGGAAAACTAAGCAGTCTGTTCTGAACTTGATCCTCTGATTTCAAAGGCCATTCTTGAAGAAACTGTTCTTGATCTTCCAACCCACTCTAACACCCACAGGAAATCTAAGCCTTAGTGAAAATTAACCTTTGACAGGATACTTCTGATAACATTTCCACTGTCAGATTCTTACTCCTTGCATGCCATATCTATAGCTGGAGCCACTACCCTACTGCTTCTCCTGCCCTTCTCTGTATGTTGTTCCTTCTGGCCATTGTTTTTGACACCTACCCTAGCTAGATAGTCAACGCTGGTCCTTAAACTGCAAACATTACATAAGAAGTTAGTGTTTGAGATTTTCTAGGACATTAATAAATATAAGTTTCTTCATTTCAAAAACTTTATCTAATACAATCCTAATAACAATCCTATGAAAGGTGCAAAATTATTCTCTTCATTCAGTAACTCATCCAAAGTCATGTAGATAGCAAGCAACAGAGGCAAGAGTTAAGTTCATGTGAGTAACAAAGGTAAATTTGAATAAAGGGAGATATCTTTTCTAGAAGTCCTCACTGATGTAGAACAGTTGCTATTTTACTATCTTTTACTGGGGAAAATGGCCTTTTTTCATTGATGCTTTCCAACTGCTCAACAGTGAGTAAGAAATTCAGTCATACACACTTGGGACAAAGTACTCTTGGCAGAAGACCATTGCATCAGCCTCTTGAATCTTTCTCTTCACCCATTTTCCACCTTTAACCAAGTGCATTTCTTTCTGCCTGATCTTCTTGTTCACCCATATCTCTACAATCAAAACCCTTCTGACACTATGTTGGGTTGTTTGACACTTCTGTGCTATGGTATTTTCAGTTCCTTTGAGTGTTCTCCACTCATACTTCATCTAGCTAACACTTTGCTAGCCTTCAAAGGCATTGGGCACACTCTCATAGATTCAGGTATGGTCTATATTCTGATGACATCCAATTTTATGTCTCTACTTCAGATATCTGTTCTGAGTTCCAGACTCGTATCTACAAATATCCATTCCACTTAGAAGATTCACAAGTACCACAATCTGGAGAATTTGTGAAAAATCAGAGCATAGATCCTCTTGGGAATGCTATGGGGTATCGGAATATGATGTCTTGGCTTAGAGACATTGAAATACTGCCTGTCCCTGAAATTTTTTGATTATATAAAGCAAAACCAAACTCACTGCCGTTGAGTCGATTCCAACTCATAACAACCCCTCCTTGGATTTCCAAGGTGGTAACTCTACAGAAGTAGATTGCTTAGTCTTCATTCTGAGGAGTAGCTGGTGGATTTTAACTGCCAGCCTTCCGATTAGCAGTCAAATGTCTTAGGCACTACACCACCAGAGCTCCCTATGGTTATGTAACTCAGATAAATAGCCCAAGGACAGATCACAGAAGGAGAATATCCAGCACCTCCCACAGGACAAAGATCTCAGAATGCTTGTTCTGTTTCTACTGGGCATTTTCACTCTGCTCTGTCCATCTGATGGTAAGTCCTGGAGACAGAGGTGCAGTTGATGAATGGTTAAGAGATGGTTGGATGCTAAAAGAGGCAAAGTTTCCAAAATTGGTTCTTGGGTCTATGGCACATATATTTGAGATTATGACAAAATTTTTCTTTTCTCCACAGGCAAATTTCTGGACTTTGTGAAAGGTACAACCATTGCTGGCCTAAAGTCCTGAGTAGAGGGGTAATTTGTGATATCTTTAGAAGTAAACCTCCTCTGTACATTCAGCAATCCTCATTTAGCAATCCTTTCTTAAATAGAATTCTGAAAGTTTTTTATCTTCTAGTATGGCCTAGCATATTTCTGGAAGTAAGGAGGCCAAAATCCCCTTCTCTGGGCCCATTTCCCCATTACCTGGCAAAATTACCATGCTAGATAAGGGGCTCATTATTTGGGATCTCTGGATAAATTTCACAGAAACCTGGGAAACTTCCAGAAATGATATACAATATTTTATTTATATGTTATCTTTCACCTGATTACTCAAAATGTCAGTGGCTCAGGAAAGGTTAAGAGTCACTAGACAAGAGCAAACTCCTGTAGAGAAGTCCCCAGATCTCAGGGAGCATTCCCCAGATCTCATCCTCTAAGCACCTCTTTCTGTGTCTGACAGAGACTTCAAGATTATGCTATAAATGTGGACAATATCATCTCGGATTATGCTATAATGGCATGAAGTTCTGCTACCTGAAATACAAGCAGTACTGTGCTACAGAGAACATTTATATGCTTACAAAATCAGGTAGTGAAGGAGTATAGAGTGACTGAGAAATAACATATACTTTCTATTAGAGACACTGGTATTTTTCTGCCCTCAGAGTGAGTGGGATGAGTGAAGATGGGTGGTCGAGGGGATGGCAAAGGTGGACTTAAGATGATATTGGCTAAAGGAGAGGCTGATATCTTTTATCAGTTAGAGAATAAGTGACAACAATTTGTAGACTCAGATTTGTAACTCATTTGTGTTTAGAGAAATGTTAGTATCTGAAGAGAAGTTATTGATAGGAAGATTGTAGGAGAGAGCAAAATCATTACATTCATCTCTCTCTCTCCTTCACCTACTCAGGAAGAAGTATGTATTTTTATTCAAAGCTGTCATGTATGTACAACTGTGAGTACATCAACTTCTTGGATTATAACAAGAGAACAGAGCTCATCTGTTGTACTCATAGTAACTTTTGCAACCTTCCAGAGGGGGACTAGTTCTGAACCTCTCTAGGACTTTTATTCAAACCATCATCCCATGAATTTCTTCCCTGGAATCTGTAGTCTCTGGTCCTCTTCTCACTAGTGGTAGTGAGCAAGAAAGCTATTTGGTAGTGAAAAGAAAAGCAATCTTAAGAAAAAGCATAGGGGGGAACTGAGTGTCATAAATGACAGAGAACTTTACTGAGTATTTGCAAATTTCTGTTGCTCACATCTGGCAGGAGTTTTCATTTTCTTCATGATTATGCTGCCTTAAATAAGGTTGGGCTTAGAACTGGTTTCTTAGCTCCTTTATAAACAGGCAAAAACTTGGGCCTCAAGCTTGTGTTGAGAATTCTGTGACCATAGTCTCTACCCACCTGTACCCAATCCTCTGAGTTAGTATTCTTTTCCTTGATTTAGCCCTGAAACTTCCTGTCAGCCCCCCTTTGCCCATGAGTTCTAGATGTAGAAAAGGATTAATCTCAGCAATCCCAATTTTCTGACAACATGAGTGATGTCATCCTCTGATGGAACTCTTAGGGAAATAGGCAAGAAAAAACTGGACAGGCATATGAATGAGACATCAAGGAAACTTTTAGGGATATTTCATTTTGTAGAAACTAGGATTTCAGAGACAATTTAGATTAGATAGACTTAGCTTGAATCATCATGCCAGATCATCCAATCTTCCTTCTGAGGAGTGGCTGGTGGATTTGAACCACCAGCCTTCTGGTTAGCAGTCAAATGCGTTAGGCACTACAGTACCAGAACTCCTTTTTTTTTTTGGGGGGGGGGATATCATGGCCTCAGCTGGCCACTTAGCCTCATGCAGTTGATTGAACAAGGTGATTGGATTAAGATTAGAAATCTTGATCAAGAATGCCCAGTCAGTTTCTTCTCATAAGACTAAGAAAAAATGCTAGTAATGAAACAACTGGCATGGTTGTTGAAAATAATAGGATTTATAGAGATGCCATGAAGTGGTGTTGGAGCAAAAAATGTCACATATATGATGAAGTTATGAGGTATGAGTTAACAGAAGGTATGAGGTAGCAGAAAGGTAACAGTAGTGGACAGAGAAAGGACAAACAATGAGTAAAACATAGACAGAAAATACTGAGCAGCATTGGTGGTGAAACAGCACAACTAGTATGATGGCTTTGAAGATTCCTTGGATACAGAAATCTTCTGGTGTTCCTTTCCTCCTGAAGCATCCCAGAGTTCCTGGCACTTGACTTCCATTAATATTTTTCTCTTTTATTATGTTACATGAAATTCTTACAATAAACACCCACTCTTCTACTTAAGTATATTGGTGTACCATCTGTCTTTGTCTATCTGAAAATTTAATATTTTCTGTGGAATTCTCAATTGTGATTTTACAGGAATACATATAGACAACTTTTTCCAAATAGACAAGCATATTGAAAAAGCCAACAGCCATTGAATCATAGGGATGGTATAACTCAGTCTAGGAAAAAAAGGGATCAGAGCTTAGTTTTGATTTTTAAAGTAGACTTAAAATATTTTTGAATCAATTGTTAGACAAACCTTGGCTTTGTTGATCAAGAAGAGAGTTCTAATTATAAAATATTTTATTTATGCTCTAACAATAAACTTTGGCATTTTCAGCATCACAGCTTTGAATTTTATTTTATGTGGTGGGCTGTTTTGGTTTTACTTTAGTGCCCCACCCAAATCATCTTTTCTAGCCAGTGCACCCACCACTCAGCTGCATTGAGTGTCGGTTTATGATAACTCACAGATTTCTCATTTTCTAGAGATTTTGCCCTTTGCAAAATGGGAGCTGCCTCAGCTGGATGCTGAGCTCCTGACATGAGTGTAGATCTTGGCCAATGAGTGACTGACATGCGGGTAATAAATCAGCCCCCTTGAATCAACATGGGACTAAGTTTGTAATGCTTTTCTGCAGATGGAAGTTGATTGAAGCTACTCTCCAGCTAAAAGTATGTTCTTGTTAACATTTCCCCCTGACTTCTCTTGTTACCTTCATTACTCCTCTAATGAGGGAAATTTACAGTAAGTTCTTTGAACAAAATTTCTATCTTGAGGTCTGCTCCTAGAGAACCCAAGAAAACCATTGAGATACAAGATTTGATATGAGAGAATTCATTACTCCCACACACATTCATCCTTCCATAGAAATCAGGAAAGCTTATATTGGCTGGACAAGGAAGTGGGGAGACAGACAGACAGAATGAAGGGAACAAGATTAGACATAAATTTTCTTGCTTTTCCACACTCCTCCACAGAGGTTAAGGTAGAGCTGTGGTAGAAATACTTAGAGAGAGCTGATGAAGAAGTGCCAGTGTAGGAGGCTTATTTCTCACATCCTTGGGCATGACTCTCAGAACCACAATGGGCATCACTTTTATTTCCACATAATCCCTGAGTGGCAAGGTAAAAATGTCAAAAGGTGATGACTAGGTGCATGGTCCTGAGATAACATCTTCTGGCTTCCCTATAGCTTATATAAGACTTGTAGGGCTTCCAGAATTTCCCACATACCCCAGTGAAAAACACAAGGAAGAAAACTGAGGATTGAGAGTTCAAAGAACTTACCAAAAAAGGGATTAAGCTCTCACTAGTAGAGAGGTATAGAAGCTCTGGTAGCATAGTGCCTAAGGCACTTGCCTGCTAACCAGAAGGCTGGTGGTTCAAACCCACCAGCCACTCCTTGGAAGGAAGGATGGGCAATGTACTTCCATAGTGATACTGCCTCAGAAACCCAAGGAGGGGTCGCTATGAGTTGGGGCCGACTCAACAGCACATAACAACAGCAGTAGAGAGGTATGGGTGTCCAAAGTGATAATTGACTAGAAGCCACAGCCTGGTCTCAAAAGATGGACAGAACAAGTGAGAGGTGGGGTGAGGGATAAACCACCAAAAGAAAACTACTGAAGGTTGACTGTGGTGAGTGAACTTCACAGACATTTGTGAGTGTCAGCCACAGAAATTTATTGGGCACAGACATTTCAGTGATGAATCTGGTGAAGTCTCAAAGAACTTCATGAGACCAAAGTGTCCTTCCTTCTCCACTATGATATTAATCTGTTCCAGAATTACACTCACTGAGAAAGCAAAGAGAACTGGGAGGGGGAAGAAACACTTGTTGCCCAAAATAGTCTAAATTTTAAATGGAAAAGACTAAGTGCTTCTCTTTATAGTGGAATGGGGACTCTAAAACAAGATGAGGTCAGGTTAGAAAATGAAATTATGTTTGACATTTCTTGTGTGTGTGTGTGTGCTCATGTGTAAATCTTTTCTTAACTGTCCTTTTGTGATTGGCTATTTTCACTCAGCATAGTGTCCTCTAGGTTTGTCTATGTTATGAGGTGTTTTGCAGATTCACTGTTATTCTTTAATGTTGTGTAGTATTCCATAGGAACCCTGGTGGAGTAGTGCCTAAGGCATTTGACTGCTAACCAGAAGGCTGGTAATTCCATCCCACAGCCACTTCTCAGGAGGAAGGTTGGGCAATCTAATTCCACAGTGATACTGCCTCGGCAATCTAAGGATGAGTTGCTATGAGTCGGATCCGACTCCACAGCAGTGGTTGCATTTGTGTTTTTGTATTCCATTGTGTGTATGTATCATAGAAACTTTCTGTCTTGGTTCTCTAGTGCTGTTATAACAAAAATACTACAAGTAGATGGCTTAAGAAACAGGAATTTATTCTCTTACAGTGTAGGAGAGTAGAAGTTCAAATTCAGAGTGCTGGCTCTAGGGGCTGGGTGAATGACCCTCAACCTTGGGCTTCAGCTCTGCCTCTTTTTCCAGGCCCACTGGAGCTAGAGGCATATTTTAACTCAGACAGCTGTTGGCTGCTGAGGTTGATGAACACAAGCTTGGCAGGTGAAATGGCACAATCCCCAAATTGTCATATAACCTGGCAGATCACTGGTTCAAGTCCAGGAACAATCCCAAGATCAGCAGGCAACCCAACAGGCCACTGGTTCAAGTCCAGGAACTGGAGATAAAGACTCATCCAAACACAGAATCCAGATGTGCCAAAAAGCTAGAGAACTTCCTCAAATCTTCTCCTTGTACGCTGGAAGCACGCTGCCCTCTGAAGGCAATTATGTACCTGATTACAGCAGATTCCACCATGGTGGTGATTACAATCTCAACATGGGTAATAACTACATCCAGCTGCCCAGCCACTCAAAACCAGGCCCAGCCAAAGTGACACATAACTTTAACTACCACACTTACTTATTCGGTTTCCTTATGGCCTGGATAACAGTGCTTAATCTTGGAGACTTTTTTTTTTTTTCCTTTACTCCATCTTGGGATATTCTTCTCAGTTTCCCTTTCTGACTTGAGCAAATGAACAAAGTAAGAGCCAGGTGAAAATTCCTTTATCCACATGATCATATATCAATTATCAATACTCAAATTTTTATACACTTTTATTTCATAGATAAACATAGTTATAGAGAAAAATTTTTCTTCACATGTTTTTAAAGAACAGTAAAATGGCCAACTAAGTGTTGATTTGGAATTTACTGGTAAATAATTCATCCAATATTACACATTAAACCAAAATAAATCTCAGATATATTAAAAATTTAAACATAAATATGCAAGCAAACAAAAACTTACTCTTCAATATTGTGATGATTATTATTTTAGCTCTTAGAATGTTCTAAATATAATGCTGAGTACTTTTTATATACAATCTCATTTAATCTTCACAATCTCCCTATGAAGTAGCTTTAATAGACAAGAAATTGAAGAACAGATTGGTTAAGTAACTTAAGCATGACACAACTAGTGTTTCAGTAACTGTTTTGATATTAAAAATATTGTGTTCACTAGAACTGTGAGAAAAGAATTCAGAAAGTATACAGTGGGGATGACTTGTCTTGGCTCCATAATGTCTGGGGCCTCAATGGGAAGACTTAAAAGCTGCAAATGATTAGAGAGCTGGCAGCTGGAATCATATGGAGGCACCTTCACTTATGTCTTCATGGTTGACGCTGATGTAAACT